TTTTTAATAGCTGCATCATATTCTGTTGTAAGGATATACCAAAATGCAAACAACCTGTGTATACTGTGTTAACAACGAGCTGCATTTTCTCTGCTTGTGTAATGTTGAGCAACCTGCTTCCTGTATCCTGTTTGAGCAGAACCTGGTACAGTCTGAACAGGGATGCTCTGGGGCCTGTCCCCAGAGTAGAGAGATAGCCGGCTGAGTGGACTGACATTTGGACCCCTTCAACAGGCAGACAAGTCCAGCACCAGGAGCATGGTGTGCCTGCCCAGGGCGCCCAGCTGGCCAGTGACATGGCTGAGTTCGTACCCAGGTCCTCCTGACTCCAAAGCTCCAGCTAACACTGCTCCCATCACCCCCTGCTGCCCGGAAAGGCAGTTGTGTCTTCTCTCTCTCTCTCTCTCTTCACATCGCTGGGTATCATCCTGCCTGCAGCGCTCCTTCATGCAATACATTCTGCAGGGTACTGATTAAACAATGGGAAGGGAAGGGGAGAAAATAAACTGGAGGTCAGGAAAATGCAGCCAGAGGTTAGAGTGCATGTGTGCATGTGTATGTATGTGTGTGTGTGTTCTTAAAATTAACCACTTTTTTTGTGCCTGACAATAGGGTGGCCCGTGCACAGGCCACAGGCATGTGTGTACACGTGTGTCCGGGGGCATGGTCAGTGAGCCCCCCGCTCAGTGGTTATAGGCAGCAAATACTGATGTTTTAAGCAGTTAGAGGAGATGCAAGAAGCTCCGCTCCCTCTTCCTCCCCATTATCTGCCCCCAATCCCCTCTTTGATGCTGCTAATGATTAGTCATTCTTAACCCTCAAGTTCTATATCCTCCCGGAGATACCCTCCCAGGCGAGGGCACTGCGACTACACTGAGGTTCGGCCCACTCCTGGGCAGCTTCTTAGCTGGGTGGCGAAAACAAAAATGCCGCCTAATTGGTCACTGGCCCTTTCTCATGAATGAAGGAGGTTTCTGTTTTAAGAAATAGTGACTCCTCAGCCGTTGATTCACTGCCCACAGGGAGATTTTGAGCAGAGGCTTCCTAGGCTCCGTAGAAATTTGCATACAGCTTCCACTTCCTGCTTCAGAGCCTGTTCTTCTACTTACCTGGGCCGGGAGAGGGCGGAGGGAGGCCCAGGGCGACCCAAGGTGGAGAGAGACGAGAAGCCGCCGAGAGCCGACCACTCTCCGGGCCCGGTCTGTCTGTCCGTGGTGGTTCTAAGGTAAGTTACTCGGAGTTACCACTTGCCTGGTCTTATTTCGTCACCTCTGACCTATTTTCCAAAGCACGCTGTTTCTCCTTTACTGAAACGTTCTGCCTCTACTTTTCTCTGTCTTCCTCTCCCCTCCTTTAACTTGTTCGCACAGAGACCATCTTAGCTGAGAAAATGACAGTGGAGTTTGTGCTGCAAGGATGCGTTGCTGGTATAGTATTTCAGGCCAGCGAGCCCCGCCGAGTTAACCCTTTGAGGAGAGGAGGCTCGCACACGGGGACAGCTCGCAGCTGCCTGGGAACCATTCGTTTGGGTACTTAGTGTCCCCACACGTTTCTATCAAGAATTCAAGCCCCACTTCTCCAAGGAGAGAGCCAGGGATGGCAAAGATTAAGTAATTGGCTTTCAGCCCCAGAACACGTCAGTGGCAGAGCTTTCTCGAGCCCTGTTTCGTGCAAGGGGGAAAAAAAAAAATCAACAGCACATTCTTGGGCCAGGAAGTTCTGCTGAGCTCTGTGCTGGCTCTGAGCCGCCTCCCGGCCCCTCTCCGCAGCCGCCCTCCAGTCCTCCCAGGCTGGCGCTGGACGGAGCCTTTGGGAAAAGGGGAAGAAATGCCAGAACTTGATCTTAGAAGCTAATCAAGCTTCTTGTGACTTTCAAGTTTAAGATGCTATCTTACAATAGGGGGCCTTTATTTTTTTATTTTTTTTTTAAAGGAACAGGAGAACAAGAGGCCAATTTTTTTTTTTAAAAGGACAAGAAACTTGGTTTCAAGTTCTTCACTTCTTGTGGTTCCATGACTTAGGCAATTCACTCTGACTCCACTAAGCCTGGATTTCTTCATCAGTAAATTGATGGGGGGTGGTGATCTAACACGAGTGTGTCAAATTCCCTCATAAAACAAAGCCAGGATAGTCCCAGAGGGGTAGTGGTAATGGGTGGTCTTCAAGACTTGTTGTGTTTACTGATTATTCACATATTTTAATTTTACCTCCCACTACCAGTTGGTTACCCCCTTGAGGAAAGGACTTTTGTTTCCTGATATTTTTCTACCCCCCAGAATTCTGCATGCTACCAAATGCCTAGTAGCACCCCGCTTCCATGTCAACTGCTTTGATTTCTGTTTCACTCGTCTGCTCTCAAGGCAAAAGGTAAAGCAGCAGTCAGGGTGAAAGGCCGGGAGAGGCTGGGGGACACGTGTCTCTGCCAGAGGGCTGCCTGGAATTGAGGCCTTATGATTGGCTCTAGCCAAATAGGAGAAAACAGGGAGTTTCTCGAATTAGTTCATGTCCCATTTGGGTTACCCAGGAAGGATAGTCCGTGCTATTCCCAACAGAGTCAAGGCAGGCCAGAGAACTGGCAGACAAGCCCAGCTCCAGAAGCCAGAGTTACTGCTGTAGCTGGACCTGGAAACCACTCCTCAGTTGGACCAGTCACTGTGTGTGGGGCCTTTAATGGGAGGGGAAGGGAAACTGTGAAACACATCCTAATACCATGTAAGGGTGATGACACTGATTAGAGACATTATTAGATGGCGGATACACAGAATCCTTAACTTTTTCCAGACCGTGACTTAAAAAAAAAAAAGTAGGCTGGGCGCGGTGGCTCAAGCCTGTAATCCTAGCACTTTGGGAGGCCGAGACGGGCGGATCACGAGGTCAGGAGATCGAGACCATCCTGGCTAACACGGTGAAACCCCGTCTCTACTAAAAATACAAAAAATTAGCCGGGCGAGGTGGCGGGCGCCTGTAGTCCCAGCTACACGGGAGGCTGAGGCAGGAGAATGGCGTAAACCCGGGAGGCGGAGCTTGCAGTGAGCTGAGATCCGGCCACTGCACTCCAGCCCGGGCGACAGAGCGAGACTCCGTCTCAACAACAACAACAAAAAAAAAAAAGTTATTGTTTCTTTTTGGCAATTACCTGCCGTCAATACAGTTCAAGTAGGCCCTAGCTGACCGGGATGGGCTGGTGCAGAGCTTTTGGTATTGCTAATCTGTTTTTGTGGGACGTCCTGGTGTAGTCCATGTCATGTTTTTAGGCATTTCTCTCTATTCCCCTGGGATGAAAGGACAGGAATTTCAAGATAGTTCACCTGCAATGAGTTCCTGATTTTATTTTCAAACAGTGATGCACCATTATCTGAAAGCAGGCTAACTGTTGTGCACTTGCCAGCCTCGCTCTAATCCTTAAAGGCCACACACCACAGTCATTCTTAATCTGCTGCTGCAGCTACCAGTCACCCCATGACGGAGCATCAAAAGATGGATAATGTAGTTACTCTGCTCTGTTCATTGCGTGGGGTGGGCTAAACAGGAGTGAGGTCTGGGTAATGTACCAACATGTCGGACAGAAAGGTTCTTAACTCAGGGTTACTCATTTTTGGAGGGTGTAGGGACAGGAAATGTTAAAGCCTGCTTCTCCCGGGATTAAGGAGTTAGTGACTTTCAAATGCTCTGAAAATAAAAAGAAGAGGAGAAGACAGTCATATTTGCAGGCATTCTTCCAACAGGCATTCAGAATGGTGGGGTAGTTTGTCTAAATTAAATCTATGTTTTACACATTGCAGAATGGAAATCTCAGGAATATCCTGAATTCAAATCATTTTTCTGCTGCAGGCAATTTTAGATTAGCTTCTAAAAACATATATGAATTGCAGGCAACTGCTGCAGGAAAAACAGAGAACACAGATGAGGCACATTCAACTTTAAATTCCTTTCAGATCCAACGAAATGACCCCTAATGTTTGATCACATTTCCTTATCAAAACAATCCTGCAGTCTGAAGGATTTTTCCGTGAGAAAGTGTCTGAGGATTGGAATCGAGAAGCTGCCCCCTGGGCCTCTCCTGTTTCTTCCGAATGCGTTGTCACCAAGATATTTTTAGTTCGTGAAACCCAGGCTGTCCTTTCTCCCACTGACAGTCTTTGCCTCCCGTGTCCACCAGGCCTCCTAGGAGCACACACGTGCTTGGCCGTGACTAAGCTCACTCTGTAGCTGTGTGTGCACACCTTGTGTGTGTGTGCGCGCACCTTGTGTGTGCACAGACTTTCCCGGATACCAGAAGTTGTAGACTGGCTGAAGAAGGGTGGGCTGCCATCCGTGGGGTGATCCTTAGGTCTGTGCTGGTTTGGCTTGGCTCCCTAATAAGGCAGCTGAACTCAAGTGGAGGGCCAGGACTGACTGAAGTTCCCAGCCTGTGCCCCTCTCCTCGCACCCCTCAGACCGAGGCTGCCTGGGTCTTGGCAGCTCCCTCAGCAATGAGGGATACTTGTCTCCGCTGCCTCATTGTTTCCCTGCAGTCAGGATGCCAATGTTTTTTCCCTTTCCCCTTCCCAGAGTCAACAGGTCTCCCTCCCAGCTCTGAACTCTCTTCCTACTCTGAGCTGTCTGTCCAAACTCTTCCTGGCCTCCCAGCTTACCCTATGATCCTCTTGCCTTTTACCTATATTCATTCTTTCCCTTCCCTTCCAACTGCCCCTTCTCATACCCAGCACTACATACAAATTACAAGTTAATTAAGTGTCTCTCCTACACCAATAAAAGGCAAATACAAAAAAATCCTTCAGCATTTCCCCACTTTCCTTACTTCTCTTCCTTTCTCTCCCTTCCTCTTCCTCTCTTGATTCTTCCTTTCTGCCCCTTCCTCTCCTTCACTCCGTGGCTGGGGCTGAATTTGGGATCACACGTGTGCTTAGAGAAACCATCTTATCTGAAGAAACAAAAAAACAAAAACCAAAACAATGACAACGACAAAACAAAACAAAAAACAAACAAAAAACATGGACTGGTTTGAAGTTGTTCTGTAAATGTTTATTATAACTTCTGATGTGATGGAGTCAGTGTGTTCCCATTAGTCCTTCTCCTCCTCATTTAGTAGCTCAGAGGAGTCCCAGAGCAAACTTCCTCAAATCAGGTCGGTTCACACTGCACCGCCTTCAGCCTGATGTGAGTCTTACTGTGCTGGGTTATGTCCAAGGGCCAGTAAATGTTCCCTTCCTTCCAGGGCTCACCACTGTTTCAAGTCCTCTGGCAAGCCCAGTGGAAGAACTTCTCTGTTTGGGAAATTCTGCAAGTAAACTTGGAAGTATTTGTTCACTGGAGTTTGAATCTGAGCCAAACAGTTTACTCAAAACCAACCTTCCACTCAACAAAACAGCGTTATGAAAGTTTGCATGCATTTGGGCAGTAAACAAAGGACATTAATGAGTTTAAATACATATATTTTTAAATCCATGACTTTTGAACATTTATTAAAAAGATTACTCTCTGGGGAATGAAGTAAGGCCTTGGGAACCTTGTAATTGAAAGTTTCTGATCCAAAGTAGATCTCAGGATCCTCCCAGCTGTAAATGTATAGATTTCTTTTTAATGTCCGCCTGAAATATTCATGCTGTGTGTCTCCAGGACTCTTCAAACCTATTCCTGACTCAAAAAAACCTTAAGAAAAAATCCAAGCAGTTGTGATCACCAAGGCCTGATTATGGAGGAGCTGTTAATACGGTTTATTAATTACTCAGGCTGCTCACTCCTGCCCTTCCTCTGTTCCTTGCTGCGCTATTTGTCTTCTTCTGGGGACAGAACACCTTCATTAAATCCCATCCGTCCTTGCCTTAGAGTTGTCCCCTGGAAGACAGCTCCCCTCTAGATGCATCACCATTTATCATCACCCTTTGTTGGTGCTCTGTCAACCAGTTTTCAATTTATTTTGAATTCAGTTTATGATTAAAATTTAATGAGATCCAATCAAATGCTTTTCTCAAATCAACATGCCTCTGCAGCCTCATCTGTATCCTCTATTGTAATGGCGTGAAGGAAAGCCATGGCAGATTTCCAGCCTGGCGATGCTGTACAGAACACAGGTGGCCTGCTTCCATGCCTCCTCAGCTTCAAGGCGGATGGCTCTGAAGCATATTTATTCCAGAATCTGCTAGGGGTTATGCGGGTGGCTTCCCCATCCCCTTTTTTCCCTCCCAATAGCTGAACCAGTCAGTGCTCCCCACCGAGATGCAAGCAGTTAAGTGCACAGGCTCTGGTGCCAAACCGCTTAGATTTGAATCACAGCTCTGCTACGGAATAGCCATGTGAACTTGGGAAAGGTACTTACCTTCTCTATACCTCGCTTTTCCCTTTTCCCGTCTGTAAAATAAGTCTGACAATAGTACCTAGGAAATTAGAGTGGGTGTGAGGATTAAGTAAATTAATACATCTGTCACACTTGGAACAGCATTTCCCACATAGTAACCGTTCAATAAATATTAGCAATGATTGCTAACAAAGAGTAAAGTTTCTTAAGTATGTCAGTTTCATTAGGTTTGTATTTTGGCTTATCAGCGTACAATCTATATCAACAGTAAACTACAACCCTAGAGCCAATGGTTACCATGACCTGTTTTTAGCACCAGCCTGTTGCTCAGAATGGTTTTTATATATTTAAAGGGTGTTTTTTCTTAAAAAATAAAAAATAAAAAAGGAGCAGAATATGAAACAGACACAGCATGTGGCCCATAAGGCGTAAGCTATTTACTATCTGTCCCCTTTGCAGAAAAAGTTTGCCAACCCCTGATTTATATGGCTTAATGGAAAGAGCTTGGAGATCTAAAGGCTTGATTTGGCTTCACCCATCACTTGTTAAGTGACTATGGAAAAGCTTCTCAATGTGTCTAAGCCTCTGTAAAACAGGAATGGCAAAGTGGTAACACTTACCCTGCTTATGGCCTAGGCTTGTTTTAAGGACCAAAGGAGATGATGTGTATCAAATGTGCCGGAAATGACTCATATATATACATGTTTGTTAAAAAGATATGGTCTCTATACATTAGCTTCAAAGAATAGTATTAGCACCTGGGTGTATTAGCACCAGGGAATACTGTCTTTAAAAAGAGAGCTCCAAAGCCAGATAATAACTGCAGTTGTAGCTGCATTAAAAATAACAAAATGGCCATTGCTCTTTGAAAGCTTGATATGGGCCAGGCTCTACATTCAACACTTCATTTACATCTACTCTTTATCCTCACCACACCCCTAAGGAGAAGTGTTGCTCTTTTCCCTATTTTGCAGATGAGAAAAGTGAGGCCCAGAGACGTCAGATAACTTTGTCAAGATCACAAATCTAACCATGCAGCTAGCTGGCACAGGGAGAATTTAACCCTAGGGAGTCTGAACCCAGAGCCTTTGCATTTAAGTATTGCATATTTTCCCACATCCTAGGAATATGTGTCAATTTAGGGTAAGCCCATCTGGAAGGCAGAAGCCACAGTTCACTGTGGATGTGGGCATGAAGCCTGTTCATGTGTGCCCTGGGAGAGACTTGCTTCCCACACAGGCCACGGTGGAGTCTAATGGACCTGAAGAAAGGGAGGCAGGCATGATGGGCGAAAAGCTTTTTGATGAACTGTGAGATCAGAAAGGTAGCGTTGTGAAGACTAAGAGGCTCTGATTCAAAAAACTGGTAAGTTAAGGAAGATTGTGCTAGAAGAGGAAAAGATTGCTAGAAACAGACATGAGCAAAGAGTTGGAGGCAGCTCAGGGGGGTTGACTGAGAGCTGTGTACAGAAAAATAAAAAAAGAGAGAAGGTGAAGCATGGGAAAATCTGTCACTGGGACGCCAAGGGAGCATTGTCACATGGACGTCAGGCTGCTGACATCTGGATGTGATATTATTCGCAAAACTAGGCAGCTCGGGGCAGAGTAGAGGAGCCCAGAGAAAGGTCTCAGGCCCGAGGAGGCAAAAAGGAAGACAAAGCGAGGGACCTGGAAAGAGAAACTGACAGATTTGAGGAAAGATGCCTGTCCGATCCAAAAGTTAGAACCACAGCTCACAGTCCAAATGGTGATGAGAGTCCAGAGATGAAAAGCTCCTGTCAGGGTGGGTGCAGTGGCTCACGCCTGTAATCTCAGCACTTTGGAAGGCCGAGGCAGAAGGATTGCTTGAGTCCAGGAGTTTGAGACTAGCCTGGGCAACATGGCGAGACTCCGTCTCTACAAAAAAAAAAAATTAACCAGGCGTGGTGGTGCATGCCTGTGGTCCCAGCAACATGGGAGGCTAAGGTGGGAGGGATACCTGATCCCAGGGGGGCAAGGTGACAGTGAACTGTGATTGCGCCACTGGGCAACAAAACCTTGTCTCAAAAAAAAAAAAAAAAAAAAAGCCAGAAAGAAAAGCTACTGTCGTCTTTGGGGTTTAGTTGTGTGTCCCTGGGAATCACCTCTGTCCCCAGCTCATGCGCACCCATGCTTACCCCAGGCATGTGTTCTCAGCCTCTGCTGAATGGCTTTTGATATTTGAAGAGACACGTTCACTCTTTCCTGGGCGGTCTCATGAGTTCCTCATTCGCATTGGTTCTTAATGTTTGTGAGCATCAGAATCACGAGCAGAGCCTTTCCTTTTCATTTTTTATCTTTTAAGTCAATATAGGCGCCCTTGTGACAAAACTTAAATGGTATAAAATGTTCTGAAAAGCAAACCTCTTTCCTATCGCATTCCTAGCCATCCAGTTCCCTTCCCAGAGGCAACCACTGTTCCTCATTTGAGATGGGCAGATATACGACCTTTTATCATACAAAGGAGGGCATACCCTCCTTTGTGCTACTCTTGGATTTTTTTAACTTAATACATCTTAGAGATAGTTCCATTTCAGTTCACACAGCCCTTCCTCATTCTTAAAGGATGTGGAGTGCTCATTGTACAGATATACTACAGTTTTAAACATCAGAACCTTTAGACATGTGGGTTGTGTCCGGTCTTTGCTATTATAAACACTGCGGCATTGGCTGTTTTCATAGCCTCTTCATTTCATACAAGATATACATACCTCTGCAGGGGAAATTCTTAGAAGTGAAATGACTAGGTCAAAGGGCATACGCTTTTAAAATTCTGATAGTTACTGCCAAATTGCACAGATTACATTTCCCTTGACAAAGTATGAGAGAACTTGTTTACCTGTGAGACTTAAACAAAAATACACTAGTCTTTTACATACGATAAACAAAAATACTCAGAGTCTCTGGGTGTGGGGCCTGGGCATCTGTATTGGGAGCCTCAGAGAGGGATTCGGAGCCAGGAACTCTTCTGGGCGTCCTCACCCTCCAGCCCTGCTTTCCCCCGAGGATTTGCTGGTGAGCCCGAGACGACACAGGGCACTGCCAACATGGAGGCTCCCAGGGTCCTAGTTGGCAAGTCTCCTGTTCCCCTGAGGAGTCGGTGCTTGCTCCCTGGGTCATGGCTGGAAAACAGGACTTTTCCACTTCAATCCAGGTGCCGCCCTCTGGTAGAGACTGGAGCAAAGGTCATGCCAGAGTTACAAGCACGTAAATATGGAGAAAGCCTGGAAAAAAAAAATGGAAAAACAGAAAAATGGGTCAGGTCAGAACAAGCAAGAACCAGGCTCACATGCACAGCTGTTCCATCCAGTTGTATATCCCCAGGACTCACCTCTGTCCCCAGTTCATGCCCACCTGTGCGTACCCGGAGTACACGCTTTACCCTCTGCTGAATGGTTTTTTGTATTTTAAAAACACAGTGGTGAGATACTGAGTGTTTTGTTTTCTTTTTTAATGTTTAGTATTTTTACACTATTGTCATTAAAGACAAAACAGATAAAACTGCCATCCCTGACATAACCCATTAATCTGTCTGTGGCCCCCTGACGTGGCATTTGTAATTGTTCTCTATGACTGCCTAAGGAGAGTTGGCAGGGTTGCCCATTTTCTGCCAGTTCAGGCAGGGGTCTGAGGCCGGAAGGGGCCGTGTGGTAGCGGCAGGCATGCCCCACCCTTTTCTGTTCTGGGTGGAGCTCTGCAGAGGCACAAAGACCAGCGCCTCCCTGCCTGCAATCTAAGAGTAGATGCTCCCATCATGACTGATGGCATCTCCTTTATTCTGCAAGTAAGGATTGTGGCCAATCCTGCCCATGGGCAGGACCTTTGGGCATGGCCCAGACCTAACTTTGGTGCTTGACACATAGTGGGCACTTAACCAATGTTCTTGAGAGGAAAATAAAAGGAGAGGGAAGGGTCGGTCACCCATGTGGCATAATTTTAAGAACTCTGAGGACCAGGCCCACCAGATACTCCTTGCTCCCCAACATTGTTGTTGACAACATTCTCATTGTCACTGATCCAGCTACATGGACCTGTCTGTCCCCTCTCTGAAACAGGCATCAATTATTTATTCATTCAACGAATCTTTATTGAGCACCTACTATGTGCCAGGTGCAGTTGTAGGTGCTGAAAATATAGCTGTAAATAGAACAGTCAAAAATCATGCTCCCAGGCCAGATGTGGTGGCTCACTTACAATCCCAGCACTTTGGGAGGCTGAGGTAGGAGGACTGCTTGAGGTAAAGAGTTCAATACCAGTTGGGGTAGCATAGTGAGACCTCATCTCCACAAAAAAATTTTAAAAGTCAGGCACGCTGACCAGCACAGTGGCTCACGCCTGTAATCCCAGCACTTTGGGAGGCTGAGGCAGGCGGATCACCTGAGATCAGGAGTTTGAGAGCAGCCTGGCCAACATGGTGAAACTGTTTCTACTAAAAATACAAAAATTAGCTGGACGCAGTGGCGCACACCTGTAATCACAGCTACTCAGGAGGCTGAGGCACAAGAATCGCTTGAATCTGGGAGGCAGAGGTTGCAGTGAGCCGAGATTGTGCCACTGCACTCCAGCCTGGGCGACAGAGCAAGACTCCATCTCAAAAAAAAAAAAAAAAAAAAAAAAAAATTAGGCACGATGGCGTGCACCTGTAGTCCTAGCTACTTGTGAGGCTGACATGGGAGGATCCTTGAGCTCAGGAGTTTGAGGCTGCAGTGAACCATGATCTAGGTACTGCACTCCAGCCTGGGCGACAGAGCAAGATCCCCATATCACAAAGAAAAAGAAAAGAGAAAACTGCACCCTTAGGAAGTTTATATTCTGGGAGAAGGGAGAGGTGATGAGCAAACAAGAGATTATTAGATATTTGTGTGTATCATATACATTTGGGTGATATATAAGACAGTGATAACTGCTGGAGAATAAGGTAAAGCAGGGAAGGGAGATGGGAATGAGAGAGCACGACCAGCGAGACCTCCTTGAGGTGACAGCCAAGGAAAGACCTCACGGAGAAAGGAAGCCAGCCATGCAGCTGTGTGGGGGAAGGGTACTCAGCCCAGTTTTTTTAAAAATTATTTTTATCTTTTGAGACAGGGTCTCGCTCTGTCACTCAGGCTGGAGTGCCGTGGCACGATCTCGTCTCACTGAAGGCTGGACCTCCAGGGCTCAAGTGACCTCTCACCTCAGCCTCTCAAGTAGCTGGGGCTACAGGCGCACACCACCGCACCTGGCTAATTTGTTTAATTTTTTTGTAGAGACAGGGCCTCATTATGTTGCCAAGGCTGGTCTTGAACTCTTGGGCTTAAGTAATCCTCCTGCCTCAGCCTCCAAAGTGCTGGGGTTACAGGCGTGAGCCACCACGCCTAGCCCCAGACCAGTTTTAACTGCAGAATTCCCACCAGAGGATGACCTCAGATTTCCAGTTCTGTGAGATGACTGCCCTCATCGCTTTTTTTTTAAAGCCTCCTCCAAGCCCCCTGATGGCTCCTCAGCTAGAAGAGTGGAATATGCAACTTTTTTTAATGTGGGTGGAAAAGCACTTCTAAGGTATTCACATGGGAAAACCCAGGGAGAATGTAAGTAGTTGTACCTGAATGGGATTGAAAGCGAATCCCATGACAATAGAGTACAGGAATTAGTCCTGCTAGTCAGCTCACTTTTTGCATCTCTTTGCCTCCCGTTCAGCTGTGGGCCCACAAGTGCATGCAGAAGATGACACAACACTCAGCTAGGCCTTGAAAAAATACTTTTGTTTTCCAACCAGCTGAAGAGCATGTTGTGTGGCACATCCAATTTAATAACTGTGGAAAAATTGCAAGAAAGAATGGGAAAAAATGGTGAACTTTTTTTTTTTTTTTTTTTTGAGATACAGTCTCGCTCTTGTTGCCCAGGCTGGAGTGCAGTGGCGCAATCTCAGCTCACTGCAACCTCCACCTCCCGGGTTCAAGCGATTCTCCTGCCTCAGCCTCCTCAGTATGGGATTACAGGCACGTCCCACCATGCCCAGCTAATTTTTGTACTTTTAGTAGAGACGGAGTTTTGCCATGTTGGCCAGGCTGGTCTCGAATACCTGACCTCAGGTGATCCACCCGCCTTAGCCTCCCAAAGTGCTGGGATTACAGGCCTGAGCCACTGCGCTCAGCTGAACATTTTAAAAATAATAAACAGTTGCGATATTTACTGGTGCTTTTGGCAGGCTCTTGTTCGTTTTTATAAGGTCCGCTCACTTTAGCTGAGGAGGTCCCCTTTTCTGCAGAACCAACGAGCAGAGGACATACACAGCCTGAAAAGGACAAGGACAGGGAAAGGGAGAGATGGAGGGAAGGAGGGAAGGCCAGCCCGAAATTAGAAGTTGAGTTTTCTGTTGTGTCGGAAAATGGAGCAAGGGTCGTCGTGCGGCAGGTGGGTAAGTTTGATACCAAGTGGGAGATGAGTGTCAAAGAGCATTCATTTGGCAGGGAGTAGAGAGGTATCTTTCTGGAGGCCGTTAAGTACATTTGGTGGCAAACTGCTGGCCCCATCTGTGTGTAAGGGGAGCATTTCAAGATGCATGCTGTCATGATCGCATTGGATTGGGTACAAGGGCCAAGAGAAAGTGAATTCATGCCCTCCGAAACTTGTCTTAGAACCATAATTTGTGTAACCTGACTTTAGGCACAGTGAGCCCTCAGTCAGTGTTTGTGGTTGAAATGCGACATGGATCCAAAGTAGGAATTTTTAAATCCAGACACAATCCCTTTTCTCCCTCTGGTATTTGAAGTATGCTATGTACTAGCCTTGCATAGAATAACCCTCTAGGATTTCTTCTTTTTCACTTGCTTGCTCTTTTACAACCCCTGCTCTGCAGCCTCCTGCAAACCCCCAGTTGCTCCTGTGCAGTCCTGTGGACTGCCTTCCTCCTCCCCGTCCAGTCAAGGCATCACCTCAACCAGTTTAATGATGAGAGAGGGCTGGTTTTCTTTCTCATTGTGTTAGGTTAATTAAGAGTTCTTCTTCTTACAGCTAAAAGCAGTATTGCCTGGACTGTGGGCTAAATGCTCTGCAGGCTAAGGTCTAGTTTAGCGAGCCTTGCTGGTTCAACTACATCACAAACCAGATGGTCATGGCTACCTTTGTTGCAGGCATAGTGCCCAGAGGGAATTAAGTCCTCCAAATGACCTAAAATTAGGTAGAAAATGTCACTCTGACCTTTTTTCGATATGTTTTAAACTTGGGCTTTCTTTCTTTGCTTAAAAGAAAACACTTTTCTTTTTTAAAATTAGGCAATAGTCAAATGGAACAAAATTATAAAAGTTCAAAAGGTGAAAACTTCCTCCCACTGCTCTCCCCCAGCTTAATTCCATCCTCAAAGGCAACCAGTGTAGCAATGTCTATGATTCCTCCACACGTTTTATACATATACAAGCAGATATGCACATACAAACACACGCACATTCTCCTCTCATTTTTTACACAAAATAGCAGCATAGTATGCACACTGCTCTGCGCGTGGCTTTTAGAAAAAACTCACTTAATACATCTTAGCCATCATTCCATATCAGTTACTAAGATTTATTTCATCATGTATTCCAAGCACACACGAAGCAGCCCACATTATGATAATTTCTCTTTCCTCAATAGTTGGCAGTTGATTTTCATCTGTGTTTTCCCCTTGCTGGTGAGTGATTTCTACCACAGGATGGTCCCATCATATTCTTTGAATTGCCTTCCAGATAAAATATCTTAATAAGCATTAGTGCTTTTGCCTGGAGGATAAGTAAACAATTTTATGGATTAGGGCTCTGCAGGCACATTGGTGTCTCAATGTTAATTTAAACCACATCCTGAATGAGGTCCCTTAAGGTCATAAAGTGAGGACTCCAAGAATTGATCTGTCTTCTAAGGCTGTGGCATGTTTTCTCTTGTTCCAGAAACTAGAATGAACCGAAGCATTCCTGTGGAGGTCGATGAATCAGAACCATACCCAAGTCAGTTGCTGAAACCAATCCCAGAATATTCCCTGGAAGAGGAATCAGAACCACCTGCTCCAAATACAAGGAACATGGCACCCAACAGCTTGTCTGTACCCACAACGCCTCACAACTCCTCCAGGGACTTTTCTCAAGCTCACGCAACCCTGAAACTTGCAAGTCACCAGGGGCCTGTATCCCAGCAGGTCACCTGCCTGCGCACTCAAGTTCTGGAGGACAGTGAAGACAGCTTCTGCGGGAGACACCCAGGCCCAGGCAAAGCTTTCCCCTCTGGGTGCTCTGCACTCAGCGAGCCCGAGTCTGAGTCTGTGGTTGGAGTCCTCCCTGCAGAGCATCCGTTTTCATTTATGGAAAAACGTAATCAATGGCTGGGATCTCAGCTTTCAGCAGCCTCTCCTGACACTGGCCATGACTCAGACAAATCAGACCAAAGTTTACCTAATGCCTCAGCAGACTCCTCGGGCAGTAGCCAGGCGATGGTACAGCGGCCCCAGCCTCACAGGAACCGAGCAGGCCTGGATCTGCCAACCATAGACACGGGATATGATTCCCAGCCCCAGGATGTCCTGGGCATCAGGCAGCTGGAAAGGCCCCTGCCCCTCACCTCCGTGTGTTACCCCCAGGACCTCCCCAGACCTCTCAGGTCCAGGGAGTTCCCTCAGTTTGAACCTCAGTGGTATCCAGCATGTGCACTGCCTCCCAATCTTTCCCCACGTGCTCCATGGAACTATCATTACCATTGTCCTGGAAGTCCCGATCACCAGGTGCCATGTAAGTGATCTTGACCTCCTCTGGGCATTCTGGGCTGGGTGACTGAAGAAACAAGGGCCTCACATCAATGCTTTGTGTCACTAGACTGGGATGAACAGGTCAGAATGCAGGGAGGGCATTCTGCTTCACCTAGGGGCTTTCCACGTGTGGTTGGATTTGCAAAGGGCCTTCAGAGAATGCTTTTTCTCTTTTTTTTTTTTTTTTGAGACAGTGTCTCGCTGTCACCCAGGCTGGAGTGCAGTGGTACAATCTCGGCTCACTGCAGGCTCCGCCTCCTGGGTTCACGCCATTCTCCTGCCTCAGCCTCCTGAGTAGCTGGGACTACAGGCACCCGCCACCACGCCCGGCTAATTTTTTGGTATTTTTAGTAGAGACGGGGTTTCACCATGGTGAGATCAGGATGGTCTCGATCTCCTGAGCTCATGATCTACCCTCCTCCGCCTCCCAAAGTGTTGGGATTACAGGCGTGAGCCAGCGCGCCTGGCCAAGAATGCTTTTTCTTAGCCTAAAGCCTGTCCCACTGGAGTCTTCTTCTCTAGGGACCTTTAAGGACAAAACAGGTTCCTCTGTCTGGATTAGTTTAACAAACCTGCCTAGAAGCAGAGAGATGACCCAAGTGAGTTCTAGAAAATGTATTTTTTGTTCTGATCTTTGGGCATGTGGGTTCTTCCTTCTCTTCATGTTTCTTCCCCATCTTAGATTTGGCAGAGAAAGGGCTTTTAGTGAAAAACAAAGCAAAACAAAACAAAAAACCAGAAGATGCCCAGAATGTCATTGAGACTCTGGGATTCGGGCCATTACATGAAAATGAAGTTGCGTCTGTGATTTTGCTGCTTAAACCCTTTTGGACACTTGAGCCATCTACAGCTACCCTACATTCCAGCCACTCTAAGACTGGCAGTCCCCCTACTTGTGATGGTTCACATCTCTATGCATTTGCCAGGCTCTTCTCTCTATCCGGGATGTTCTGCTCCCTCTGGTGTGTCTGACCCAGTTTCAATACACCTTTTAAAAAAACTGCTTTATCGAGATCTAATTTACATACTGTAAGGTTTATCCTTAACCCATTTTAAATACAAAATTCAATAAATTTTAGTATTTTCACAGAGTTATGCAACCACCATCATACACATTTTTTGAGACTTAGCTCAAGTGTCCCTCTGAAAACCTCCCCAGATCACATTCTCCTTCAGGTCCTTTCTCTCCCTCCTGCTCTGGTCCTGTTGGGACACCTAACACCAGCATGGCATCTGATTATATACTTGTCTCCTCTCCTTCCAGACTGCAAGCTTTTGTGCATCTGCAAATGCAAACATGTACTTTCAATTCGTAATTCCCCAGAATTTAAGCACAGTGTCTGGCACATACTAGACTCTCAATAAACTACTTCTGAAATAATAATATGTACCAGTGCAGTAAGCATCTCTGAAAGTGATGAAGTCTTAGATTGAGATAAAAGATTCTATCACCTTTTTTTTTTTCCCTACCACCATTCTTGATGTTAAATCTCCGCTGAGGCCCCTGGAAAATAACAATAGGGCTTTACAGATGAAACACAGGGCTGTGAGATGTGATATTTTTCTTAGCAAATAAACACTAGACATAAAGTAGGTCAAAGAGTGTAAGAAGTGCCTGACCAAAGGCCTGATGCACAGCTTTAAAATAAATTATAGAAATAATTACAAATGCTGTAATCAACCATAATTTACATACTAGTACATGTATACTAAGTATAAAGCTTCCTAAAGTGAAGAGAGCAACACAGTAATTCATAACTCAGAAAAAAACAACAAAGAGGAGATAGAGAAATGTAACTTAGAAGATGCTTGGAAGAAATAGGTAAGAATGAATGTGACATCAGGAATGAGGGTGGGGGCTGGGGAAGCAGGAGGGTGTGAGGAGAATGGGGCCTTGGGCTGGAGAGGGAGAAAGAGCCCGTGATGCCTAAAACTGGGACGTGGTGTATAAATGTTGGGAAGTCAACAGGGTGGGAGCACATGGATGCCACCGCCTGCTCTAAGCGCCCAGTCATAGGGTGGGTGTGGTGGTGGATTCCCTTAAGTATGAATCACTGAGAACTGAATGTTGGCAAGGTCAAGGCTGTATTTCTCAGTGATTGCCAGGTTTAAAAGG